TTTCTGTATTTTGAAACACGTAAGTATAAAATTAACATAATATTATATATTATAACTTAACGTTTATTCTACATTGTCTTCTCTGTGATGGACTACAATGTATTATAATTGTAATGTGTACTATAATATGTATACAATATTGCTATTTAATATATAATTAATAATTGATTTTCCATTAGAATAAATATAGGTCAAATAAAGAAGATTTAACTTTATATTTTGGCTGAAAACTAATTAATTTGAATTCAATATCAATTAACACAGCAATACACATCAATTTATCAATTTTCTTCTTATTAATTTTGTTTTCTAAAAATGTTTAAATTAAATTTTATTAATATYACGTATGGGTATAGTAAATTTTGAGATTTATTGATCATTGATTAATCCRATTTACATATCACATTCTTCAATTTTTTTATAGATTATTATGAATAAGAGTCATATAGTAGACACGGGCGGTTTGCGTTTGGGCGAATTACCTTTTTACCTGTATAATAAAAGTAATGTGTTTGGGCGAGTTAACCGAGTTTCTTATAATGTGTTTGGGCGAGACAATATATTTCTTTTATTCCTGAATTTTGTGATCGGGATTATCACTTTTCGTATTTTGTTTATCATTTATCTTTAGATTAGACATAATTAGTTAGCRAAGGTTGTGGTTCGACGTAGTACTGAGGATTCAAAATTATTAAACAAGTGATTGACGTGCAGTGCGGACGGTGCGACACAATATAAAAGATAAAATTGTAATGATTATAAGATAAAACAAAAAACAAATATATTTTTTCAATTTTAATTATATTTTGACTTCATTTTTAAAAAATCTAAATCATTTAAATTTTTAATTACACGCGGACACACATAAATAAACAATCCATTTTTAATCATACCCGTGGAATTCACGGACAGTCCTAAGTCTGTCAAAATAAGAGGTAAAATGGATTGCAGATAAAATACAGCATCCCAGGGTATTCAAAATAAATAATAAAAAATGGTCACCCAAACGCATTACAATGTTTTAAAAATTCACCCAAACGCATGATGCCCAGTAGACACAAGGGTGTGTTGACCCTTTTTTTGATCAGGACTAWAAGGTTGTAATCATCATAATAAATTCATGAGTAAATTATACACGCATTTTTTTTAAAGCTGGTCGGGGTATTGAGAGACTGAGATTTGTTTATTTGTTTAAACAATGTATAAACATATAATAAAATATTTTAAACCATTTTGTATTATCTTTATCTCTGTTTAAATTATCACCTTCGCTACACCTATTTCATTATGTTTTAAATACCTATGCTAGGACTAGCTGTTACTGTTAGTTAATAATAATTTTTAAACATAGCATGTATATATTATGTAATTTTTAAAGAATTACAAAAACAGTAGCTTATAATTCTTCTTTTTTAGATGTGATATTTAACATAAAAAATAAATTTTCACAACAACTAAGCTGTATGTTATATAATTTGCGTTTAGAGAATTTGGAATGAACCATTTTTTTTTATTTACAAAATGTCTGAAAATGAATTCTAATCTTTCAATATGTTATAATTTGTTAACTTGATAACATTATCTGTGCATGTGGTTGAAATTTGGTAACACTTAAGAACGCGTGGAGTCACCACGTATCTTTTATTATTAGTAGTGAAATAAATAAAATAATATTTAAAATTCT